AGGTCAAAAACCTCCTCGATCAGTTTTTTGCCAGCAAAGACCAAAAATTTTATGAGCGTGGAATTATGCTACTACCAGAAAGATGGCAAAAGGTGTTGGACCAGAACGGTCAATATATAATTTAATAAAGTATTTGTTTATTATACGAAAACTGTCTTTCATTTCCACGAAAAAAAACGAAATGACTTTCTGAACAACCGTGTAATAAAAGCAAATTAATAAAAATGTTGTCTTCAATATAATATGAGATGAAAAAGCGTTTATGTAAGTAAACTTTAGAATGTAATTAAACGAATTTTACCCTTTTAGGTTTGCATAGTTCTTCGGCTAATAGATGATGAATTTTTGCGTCAGTTAAGTCCTTTCTGGATGGATTATATTCTAGTTCTTGCATGTCAATATTCCAAGTGCTATTATCCAATTGGCTGAAGCTCGTGCTGAAACAAAGTCATGAAGTGTCTTATGAAAATAACGCCAGCACGACAATAAACTATTTTAAACCAAAATGCAATTCCAGTAAGTATAATTTGATTCTCCTAATGCTTTTGATTATTTCTTTCTGGATTTTTAAGACATAACTATATTTTCTGCGAAAGCGTTTTTAAAATGTATCTACCGAGATAGTTGAGTAGCTTGCTATCACAAATCGTAAATCAACACGATGCTAGATTCATCCATACGTGCGAGGAATTAAATAAAGAAAGGTAAATATTGAGGGAGTAGCCGATAAGTGTTCAGAAGTTCAAGTGTTCATGCCCTAATATTCATAAATCTCCCCTGTTTTAATGCTTATTGGTTGATCTTATAGAATTCCTAATACTTTTCGGAGATGTTATCGGTGAACTCAACTTGATGTTGATTCGCATTTGTGATAGTCTCAATATACTGTGTAGAATATGCTGAATTCAATTACAAATACATAATTGCAAATGAATTTTAAAGAATTGTAGAGTGCAAATTTGTCCATCAAAATATCGAAGCTGTTTTCAGTTCATTTGTTAGATAAGTTTCCGTATCTTGTTCTTTCAAACCTAAAATGAGCCTTTGGCGAATCAATAACTACTGCTCGTCTTCAAAGAAGGCCTTTTATGTATCCGCACCTAACAAATATATGCTCGTATAAACCTAGTTTTTCGTTTCATTTTCCTTGTGGATTTTCTTGCTCGCAAATGTTCGCTTCAAATCAATAAATTGCAACACACCAATACTTTCTAGTATGCTTGTACTGCTGTATCTACTTCACTATTTGTCTACTTTATAATGAGTAACGATTGTCCGTTTACATAACTGAAAAATATTTGTACTCGACGACTATATACATTAATATAAAATGCAATAAAAGACGTCTATTAGAATGATAGATATAACACCCTTTTCCAGTCATTTCTATTCCTATTTCGGAAAAAGAGAAATGTTCGATTCGTTGGCATCAGACTTGTTTACTACGTTGAGTGCTTGTGTAGGAGTTTTTTGACCCACACGTTACGATTATTTACTAAAAATTGTGAACTAACCAGACACACGAGTAGCAAACCCCAAACTCTGGCCTTTATTTCATCTGTTTTTGGAATTGCCATCAAACATAATGTCTTCGGGGCATTATCCACAAACAGAAATACAAGGACCACGCAGTTTTGTATCTAGAATGTTTGTCCACAAGCACGTGTACAGTTTAATTAATACTTAAGGGAGAGTCATCCACACGGAATTCGTTTTAGGGTGTAATTCGGGAGATGTTATATTAATCAACAAAATTAGGATCAATCCAATAATGATGATAATGTGTAGCAGAAAATATTTTAAGTGTTTATTTCAAACATTCGAGTTTGGCAATAAACAAATTTGAAAGCTCAATAATAACGAAATATTAGTTAATTCAAATTAAGGAATATTCACATGAAACTAGGAGTCATTAGAAGTTTTCAGAAATATGCCAACTAAATTTTTTATTTAAACGATTGCCCTCTATTGAAGATCTAAGAAAACAAGTAAAATAAAAAAACGCAGTCCAGACAGAATTTTTTCGTAAATTCGAAAAAACGAAATAGATATATGCATGCGTGTGTGTTAGGTAAGCGTAGGTGGGGTGAAAGACCCTCGTCAACCCTCGAGATTAGGAGGGTAGAATAGACGGGGCAAATACCTACCTAAAGTCCTTATATATATAATGTGATACATGGGTAAAATAATAAGTATATCATTTAACGAAAAATTGTTGCTTGTGAACAATGGCTTTAAGAATTTTGAACCATGAAACAACAGAAAACATAAAATACTAGTTGTGGAAAAGTATCTACAATGTACATTCTTTTTAGGAAATTTTCGTATAAGTATAGATTATTCGAATAAACAAACAATCACTTCTCAGTTACGTAGTTCCATGTCCTTACAGGGCCACCCCTATATAGAAACACGGATTATGCGTGAATCTTCGACTACCAGCGGTATCGCAATAACTGATCAATTAAAAGAGTAAACCGTGCAGCCAGTAAATATTGATTTTTGTTTTGGGCCATATGATAAGGTCTAAATCCGTCGAAGTAAACGTGATAACTCCATAAGTACTACGTAAAGGTTCCATGTTGACCTCGATGATTATAATTTGATGATAGAAACGGTTCGCACTTTGTCACAATAAAGGTTCTTTATAACTTAAGCGCCTTTGACGTTAGATACATTCTATTTTAGGAGGTTAAAGCAATTTGGAGATGGTACCTAGTTTCTGGAATTAATCTTTTTCTTTCGCTTTCGTCGTATAAATAGAAGTTGATGGGAACTAGGGTTAATTTAAGAACGTAGACATTCACGACCGGAACGCATGGCGAAATTATAATTTGGGCTAAAGGGTCGTGGTCTAAATAAACTATTAGATCTAGACGTTTCGTGCGAAACTATGGCTAACACTTCAATGGTACTGCGTTGACAAAACAGCTGAAAGTTATGTATGTCTCGGTAGCGATACCAGTCGACACTTAGTAGCTGTTGAGACTTCGTCCATGTTATCAACGCAGTACCACTGAAGATGATAGCCGCAGTTGTCAACAAAACGTTGGAACAACGGTAGAGTTATGATGAATTGTCAGTCCAGACGTTTCGCCGGCAATTGCGGCTGAATTCTTTAGTGCTATTGCGTTGTAAAACGATATCAGTCACTCAGTATTTATCATTCAAAAGAACTGGGGAATACCAAAGCTTTAAACTGGTAAAAAAGGGAATGCTACTAAATCAGCTTCTAAGATGAGACAGCTAATTGAGGTATTAATTAATTAATTAAAAATTTAAGATAAGCTTGTACTAATAATAATAATTATTAATCAGTGTCCAGTCGAAATTAGTTTTGGAAATCACGAATCATGAAATTTAAATATTTATTCATGAGGTGTATTGAATATTTAATCAAGTGAGTCATATTTCGATCGGACACTAGAAATAATAGATACAACTACTAAAACGTAAAAGGCACTGCTGACAAGTTGAATAAAACAATTAGCAAATCATGCAAAATTAACTTCTGTGCTATAGTTTACTTTAGCAACAGAAAATAAAGGGCAGTCTGTGCCTTTGAGTTTTACCAGGTGTTTAATAGCTTGTCGGCCCACCTTCCATTCAAAGTTCCCGCCGTGTAATTTCTAAAAATGGCAGACATACTTTCGGTACCAGACATGTTACCGATCGTTGAGGCGTTCCGGCGCATAAATTCTATCGCGTCGCGCATAGCCAATTTGGAATAAGTCTCAAGAATTTTCGGTTCAGCTCCTGTGTAATTCCGGACTAGGTATGGACGAATAAATTTGTTGTCAAAGTGTTTAAATCTGAAACAAACAAAGCAAGTTAGTAAAAATGTGTTATACTTCGTTTAGTTTCTGTAGCGATGTGACCTTCAGTTTGACCGGCGCAAAGTAGAAAAGAACAGCACTAGACCAGAAAAGGAAGGAGACAACTCTCGGCCAAACTTTTAACTGGGGAGGAGCGTATAATCCGTATAGTACTGCACGGAAAAAATGATCATTTTATCCACTACAATTGCATTGCTCAAATGTGCTGTTATTGGTACTATTTACTACTGAAAATATCAACGAGATGTTTATTATATTTGAAAGCATATTAAAAGCTTTAACGCTTGTTTTCGACTCGCACTACTATTCATGACCGAACAAAACTTTTGGCAGGTACTGTATGAAAAAGTATGTTTAATGAACAAGAATCGAGAGTATAATGAGCTTTTTCTCCCTTCCTATGATCTTGCCAGATATTGGAAGGGGCACATCGCTAGAGAAAGTAAATGAAGTATAACAAACGTGGCTTTTTAGTACCTGTCTCGTACGTGGAAATTTCCGTGGAGACCCAGTATGTCCTCTATTCCTGCCATCAGGTGATCCATGACCTAATAATAGGCAGATTAACTTTCACAGCCTTATAAACTGCAAAGGGACTAAGAAAAGGTAGGCGCTTCGGGGATTATGTCGGGTAGCAAAGTAATGAGCTTCCCTTTTTCTGTTTATTTCGGGAAATATAATTTTCTTTTGATACTATATACTCAACAGGTATTAGCTCACAATTGGGTTGAACTGTTCTGTGCTCTAAAAGAATTTCATAATTTTCTTTTATCCTGGCAGTAACTTTCTAGATTAAAGTCTTTCTCTTAAAGAATTTATTGCAACATCTGAGACCAAAAAATGGTAATTTTGGCACACCATTTTTCTTTCATTACAATGTATTACCATCTAAATTTTTTTTTATTTTAGAAGCGTCTACTAATGTAACTTTGACGTCAGTGCAGGAAGGAAATAGGCGGAGGTTGGGAAAACGATTTCAGATCAATTTTTAAACATTTCCTTATTCATTTTTAATCTGACATTTGGAGGCATTTTAAGGGCAAATGGAACTTAAGAACTCCCTGTTTAGGTAACTTTTCATACTTTTTAAAATAAAAAAGAAGATAAACAGAAAAATAATGGAAGTCCAAAAATTTTAAAGCGAACTGTCTTACTGTATTTCACATCAGAATGCATTTGAAGCTTTTAAACGCCAGCATTCATAATCCATAATTACAAAGCTCCGGAGCTGTAAACCTTGAAATTATCTGAATTCTTTGTTTTCTGGGAGTTTACCCAAGGATTACAACGCTTGACCTAGCAAGGAATATTTCCTACGTATAAATGCAATCAAATAACGGAGAAAGTCTTTGTTTAATGTAAAGTTGAAAATGTTTATGGCAAGCATTTTACATAACGATATAAGAGAGCAATGGGCAACTACACGTAAGAAATCGATTCTGGTTTTCTTAGGTGCTCAACAATTTTCAATGGTAGGATTTAGGAAACTGTAATAATAAAGGGCGGAGGTGGAGAGTCCAATGAAAATAAACCGTTATTGTACAGACTATGGTACCATTTTACCATTTTAACTAACATAACCTAACTTAAGGGAAGATTATAGTGTTTAAAAGTTCCTTCTCCTCCTTCATAAGCATGTACTATTGTATATTTACGTTTATTCGCTTCTTCACTTCCAGCGTTCCTATCTCTACCCCTTCATTCTCACCTAAAACATTTTTTAGTATTCTAGAAGATCATCCCTATTCCCCTCGGCGGTCAACTCAGATATTGGGATCCGTCAAATGGGAGGAGCCTAAAAACATGGCGCCGATTAGGGAAAATTTATCGTAGTTCTTATAGTGTACCGTGTAATTTCCAAGTTTTTAAATTACGATAAAATGACAAGTATTGACACAATATGTGATTGGGCTGACATAAAGCCTCGGAAAGGAAATTTCGTTGAAGGTGAGCGTCTTTTTAATTCCAATCACATTATAAAATTCGGAAATAACAAATCCGGAAGCTAGCNATTATAATTTATTTAATATAGAAGAAGAAAGTATAGAAGAGATAAAGTTGTTTATGTGTTAAGTAGCGATAACTACGAGCTAAACACATTCTACTTTCGTTATAAAAAGCGGTAAGCGGGGTAAAAGCATTAGTGGAGTACCATTGTTAGAGGACTTATCCCTTCGCCAGGGTAGGTAACCTTCTGCCGCAGTGGGTTTTTTGGTTTTTGGTCCCATTAGCGGTGTTAGTTGACTATTCCCGCATCCCTCACTGCACGTACTCAATGCCGCTTCATCACTTGCTACAACGTCACCATTATCCCATTATACCAACAAAAAAGCGTTACTATTTATACACAGGTAGCGGATTGAGTTATATCATACAACATCATGCATAAATTATTTAAAACTGCTAAATAAGCTCATGGACGAAATCAATTTCTATTATCAAAGTTGTGTAGAAATTAGTTTTTAAAGCTACACGGAGAAAACTAAATTTTTAAGACAACGGAAAAATTATAATTTTCGATTGTAAATTTGCCGTAGAAATAGTAGAATTTATTAGGTAACTTGTAATAATCTCAATTTTCACATGCTTATTTAGAAATTATTTCAAGTTCCTTAATTCATCATTATCATAAGGTCGTCAGTCCTAATACTGGTTGGACACGCACCTCCACTCTTTCCTATCCTGAGTTAATCTTCATGTTTCTCTTAAACTAGAACAACCCACATCCTTAACTATTTGCGAACAGTAATCTAATATAGACCTACCTGTACCCTTCATAACTCCCATTTCTGCCTCTAATATGTCTCTGACTAAACCTTCATGCCCGAGAAGGTGTCCTACCAACCTATCTCGCCTATTACTTATTGACTTCCATTAAGTCCTCTATTTTCCTATTCTTTCTAATACCTCTTCATTTCTAACCTTCTTTATTAGTATCCTCATCATTCACTTGTAACACCACATTTCGGACGCTTCTAACCTTTTTTTTCTACAGCCCCAATCGTCCATGTTTCGCACCCGTACAGCGCCGCGCTTCAAACACAATTAAATTTGCAATATCAACTAAAATATCTAGTAAAATTATTTCTGCTGGGATTTAATTTTTACAAATTCGGGTTCAAATTGTAATTTTTATTATTTTCGCTTATGAATCAACGGACTAGTGGGATAAATTGTAAATATCTATTTAATTTTATACTACCACTTAAAAGGCAAAAAATTGAATAAAACGTGTGTATGAACACTGCAGAAGAAGGACTCATTTTATGACCATATAATTATTGTAATAACTCTAATTCATGATAACTACAAATTTGCACCTTTGTTATTTAAATTCATCAAGAGAAAACACCTACAGTAAATTCCTAAAATGCTTGTTGTTTGCTCTCTGATACTAATTCCTTGTTTATTTTCGTAAAAGTCGATAGTAATAAAGCTTAACCGCACCAAAATTCTAAATTACTCCCACCACTGTTTTAGGAAATGAAGAAAGTGGTAGATAAGGTACCTATATCAAAAGGGTAGCGACGGCAACGAAATCGATAACTGGTTAAAACGGAAGTTACAGCGAAAACGACAAGTGGAAAATGAGACATTAAATTTAATGCCAAGCGCAATCTGTTTTCTTGAAGAATTTTTACGGTTCTGTTGAGATTTGATACAAAATTCAGCAAAATATGTAACACACCATTACTACACCTTTCATTTTCCTTAAAATTAGTTACTGGATAGGAAATTTTCACATGTTAAACGAATGCTACATGACAAGTAAAATAGTGTAAATTAATTATCTGTTGAACAAATAATATCTAAATCCACACGCAAAAATAACCGTGACGTATAATATGGTCCCACAGTCAGAAACTCAATTTCATATAAACTTTTATAATAAAGAAACTTGTATAAAGCCTATGGGTACAAAATGAATTCATTATTGCTTTGAAACTTTGATAAGTATTAAGTATCTTCAACTTTTAATTACAATTAAATGATTTCAACCTTCCATTAATCCTTTAATTATTCCTCTAACGAGAACTTAGTGCTTAATATTAGGACTAGACTTGGAACTAAAGGAAAAAACGTTTTGAAGAAGTTAGAAGTTCTTACTTAGGCAATAAGGCCAAAATAATCGCATTCATTTTGAAGAAAAAGGTATCTAATATAAACTGTCCTAGAAAGTTTTGGTTATTTAGTTATTCGAATGAAGGCAAAATTAGACATAGAAGAAGATATTAGACTAATTTAGTGAAAATTAATTAAAAACAAAACATGAAAGGAAATTGTTGTTGAGGGACTTTGTTCGTGCATCTGTGCGCCCAAAAAGGACAGCTAAAATTTAAAAATGCAGGATGAAAAATCTAAAATAATTCGTGTACCTAAACAGGGAGTTACACGAAAAATTAATGAAGTTTCTAACTTTTTTAGATCAAAAGAATAAATAAAACAGGTTAGTAGTTCTTCTCTACATTTATTTGAAAGATTAATTAAATAAGAAACAGTAATACGTGGTTAGTAATGCATGCACATGTTTCATTTTTTCGGATAGTTTTGGAATTTTTCCTGTGCAGAATTATAAAGACGTTTATATGTCTACCATCAAATATGATGAAATTGTTGCAAACTTTCTGTAATGTTGAATTAAAAGGCAGAAAATTTTGTATATTAAAATTATAGTGGAAATGACAGGATACGAAAGATTGCAGTTGAAGAATATTTCGCGAAGAGACAGGAAACGAACAAAGAGGATATCGATTTTGAAGCGAGAATTGCAGAAGGTAAAAGTAAATGCAATCTCCGGTTTAGTTGGCGCCTTTTCAGAACTGATTAAAAATGAAAAATCAGTAATTTATGCGATAAAAATAGAGGAAATAAATTTATAACTTGTATAAGGACTATATATGTATAGTATATAAGTCCTTTTAAATTATTAAAATATCGCGTGTCTTGCAACCCACAACGGTAGGTATGTAAATTTTTTTATAAAGATAAAGGTAACAAATCGATCTGTTAAATTTAGAAATTAGAAAATTCCGATTTATTAATGAGAAACAATAAACAATTACATTTATCTTTCATGCACACTTAACTTTTAAAAATAATGCGACTATCTGCCTTGACGACGCTATAAATTCAATATGGCGGATGCCCTAAGATGGCAGATCTGTTTTGTCGAGTGAAATATAATAATAAAGCAATATGACATCATTGTAGTTATAATAAGCGTGCATTTTCTTAATTATTAACTATTAAAATACTAAAGAACCATTTTTTGTTTTATTCACAAAAAGTTTTTAATAGTTTTACGACACTGGGTATTACTCATTCTATACCCAGACACATTTTTCATTTGATCCTACTCTGTCCTTCAGTATTCCACTGAAGGACAACTTTTGTGTCGACTCCTTATCTTGTTTGCTAGAGCGGATGAGTCTTCATTTCAGTTTTAGAATTGCGTGTAAAACTACAATCGTATTCAGTCGTCATTGAACATAACATTAATGCTAATAGTAGGTAAGTTTGAAATCTATTGTGTAAGTGTAACTAATGT